AAGTTATAAGCAGGTTAAGTAGGTGAAAATATGAGTGTATACTCGAGGAATAACTTCAAAAAACATTTTAACTGTTTACTAAAAGAAGTGGTACGCCTATGGAATACGAACGCTTTATTATTTTAATACTCTCTCATACATAAAAATAGACTATAAAAGGCTCTTAAGCAAAAATCATATTAAAAGGCCCTCCCTTTTGTGGCGAACTTCCTCATGATACTGTTTCACCCAAAGGCTTTGCGGAGCCTCAGGGCTCCGCGGAGAACACTTTCAGAAACACTGCTCTACGCAATAGATCGAGATACTCTCTTTTCTTTCTTTAATTTTAATAAACAAAACAGGTTAAAGCAAAAAAAACCTAAAAAAGGTATGTGTTACACAGCACCCTGTAGCGTGCTGCGGTCGTCATAAGTAAAAGTACAAGTAAAAGAAGACAGAATATATCCAGAAATGTCATTACACGTCAAGAACATTCTAGATGACATTTCGAGAAGGTTCGAGAAGGTCAAGAAGCTATATAAGTCGACGACCTGACGTCAGAGTTTGAGTTTTATGAGAGACGTTATACGTGAATGTTATCAGTTGTAAAGTTATTGTTATTGTAAAGTTCAGTTGAAATAAATTGTAATACCAAAAACCAGCGTAACATATGTAATAATTGGGCATTTCAACGACCTGCCAAACAATAACTGCCGGTGGACAGGGCTCGTATATCTAAGGGGCTTGAGACAGCCTTTCATTTTTATTCAAAATAGTAGTCGCCAAGCCTGCTAATTTATGTGTTCGACATAAAATATTTAAATTTAATCCAATATTTGCGATTTCACGTGTTGTAGATAGAATACATCATATGTCGCAACTTCTTAAATATACTATCCCTTCCCATCGACAGCCATTTTGTTTGGAATACCTAACAGCACAGGGATTCTTATGCGGTCTCGACACGTGTCGTATAGAGAGAGATATTACATAATAATCCTAATTTGTCGAACGAAGACAGGTATCGTATCGAAAGATGAAAATTCTACTGCCGATACGTTTTTACTGTCAAAATTATTGGCATACATGTCAATTTAAAGTGTATGAAATCAGTATTGGGATTCTCATATTTCAATATATCACGTGTTGAGACGATTATCTTCGTTCCACGGAATGCGATTCGTATGTAATGTCTCTCTCTATTCGATTCCGTTACGTGTTGAGTATGCACATAAGAATCCCTGCCCAGATCAATTCTTCTTCTTTTTAAGTGTTAATTTGGATTTAAATTAAAGCCTCATGACTCGTATCTCTATCTTTGTCGATCATGGCCTATTTTAGAAACATTTTTTATGGACCACTCTTTATTTATTAACTTTGGGCGGTATAATTATCAACCCATCCTCGTAGTTCTTCAGAGATAATTAACATCAAGATGATTACTTTTTTTTTATACTAATTTGGATCTATTATTTAACATCACGTAGACATTCCCATTGTTAAAAACCTGTTACCAAATTTAAAATCAAATAATAGACTATTAAAACCAATTTAAAATACATTATAGGTACCGAATCGAATACCTGTAAGTATAATTTAAAATATTATTGAGACAGTTATTTGTTGCAAATTACGTATAAGTAGTTGCGTAAATAATTTAACCTTCCATAGTTATTGATATACAAATACATACACTTGTTATTTGCATAAATTATTCTAAAACCAAATAGTACAAGTTGCATCATATAAAAGTATGATATATGTATGTGTGGATTGATTATTATTTTAGTTGTTTACTATTATTGAGATCAACTTGAGGTGAAAAAAATCCATATTAATATCGTTTTATGTCATAAGAATGCATTCTAGAGGAAGAGTTATTGAGTGACTGAGTTGCTATGTATCTGAGAGAAATCAATTAACAGTCGTTTAACTCTCGCTTATCAGAAACACGTTTAATTAATTGTGGCGTTCCTCAGGGATCTATCCTTGGACTGTTTTTATTGTAACATTGATATGTCGCAGTTATCTGTTGAATTTTAATATAGTTGGTACGATAGTTCAATGAAATATAATGCATAAAATCGTTTGTCCTAATTAATTGACAGATCTGTCAGTGCGTAGCCAAAACTACTAAGACTAGAAAGCTGAAATTTGGTATTGAATGCGCACGTCCTTTTGTTTTAAACGAAGGTCCATCATTCACTCTGCTTGTGAAATGCATGAACAACCAAAGACTATACCAACGCACACACAAGGACAACCCTGTTTTTTCTAGCTTTTTCAGGGGACAAATAACCACAACTAAAACGCGACAAATCCTTAACCATTTCCCATTACTAATTCCCAAACAAAAACCATAATTCCTCAATAATACCGAACAGGTAAGGAGTGAGGGCAGATATATTTACCAAACTGTGAGTAAGGGCCTCTAAACCTAAGAGGTGCAAGCATCCAGCTTAAGGGGGAGGTAAAATATCTCGGGGTTATGATTGACTCGAGACTTACCTGGAACCAGCATCTAGAAAGAACCACAAGGAGAGCGGAAACCTCATTAATGATGGCAAGGCGATCCTTTGGAAAAAAATGGGGGTTAAAACCAGACATGGTATATTGGATTTATAACATGGTGGTGAAACCCATAATAACATACGCAGCTTTGGTGTGGTGGCCAAAGACACAGCAAAGGAAAGCAATAACAAGGCTTAGCAAGGTACAAAGACTTGCCTGCCTCGGAATAACGGGGACAATGAAAACAACCCCCACTGCTGCAATGGAAGCACTAATAGGACTCCCACCTCTTCACTATGTGATACAAGGGGAGGCAAGATTAGGTGCTTACAGATTAGGGAATACACTGGGAAATCTTGACATTAGGCCAGGTCACATGAGTATCTCAAGGTTAGTGACAGGAGACGTGCTAGACATGAGATCAGACCACTTGACCAAGAGGTACTCTTTTAATACTCCCTTAGAGGTTTTAATACAGGAAAGAGCAGAGATCACCACCATAAGGGAGCCCAATGCTCAACGACAGGAACAAACCTGGTATACAGGGTCTAAGACTGCGGAAGGCACTGGGGCAGGAGTATTCTCCAAAAACCCTGATACTAACCATAGCTATGCTATAGGAATACATTCCTCGGTATTTCAGGCCGAAGTATACGCAATTTTGCAATGTGCAAAAACGAACAATGAAAGAGATGTCGAAAATCAGCATATTCAAATAATGTCAGACAGCCAAGCGGCACTTAAGGCCATATCGAGTCAGAAAGTTACGTCGAGGCTGGTATGGGAATGCATTGAAGAACTAAGAACACTGGCAGACCGAAATAGAGTAAAACTATTTTGGGTGACAGGTCACAAAGGGATCGAAGGCAACGAAAAGGCTGACGAACTTGCAGAAGAAACACCGGAACCAGACACAAACCCAGGAGTACAGTCCGGGGTTTTATAAATGACTGGATTCGGGAACAACATATCAACTATTGGGGAAGCACCCCAAAACAGGCACATGGAAAAGCCTTCATAGGCAGACCATGTCCCAAAAGAACTGGAGAACTACTCTTAATGAATAGGAACCAGTTGAAAGTGATAACAGGGTTCATGACTGGGCACGCTCCAGTAAAGGGACACTTGAACAAAATTGGCATGTACAATGGGGAACTCATGTGCCGATTATGTCACAAGAAACCAGAAACGGCCAAACACATACTGTGCGAATGCGAAGCTCTAGATCGCAAAAGACAGGCTATTTTTGGACAACCCCAGGTTGATCCAACAACGTATAGAACCCACTCACCCAAGGATCTGTACAAACTTGTACAAGGTACAAAGGTGATAGAGTGGGTGCTACGAACTAACATGGGGTAAAACACAATAAGCCAATAGGCTTCAGTGTTATTCGGAGACACATAGTCAGACGAGCCCAGGAGAGAAAAAAAAAGAAGAAAATGGAGGACATCGATTATAGAAGATATTAAGGAAAAAAAGATCATCAACTAGAAAGAAAAAGCCAAGAATAAAGACGAATGGAAGAAACTAACCAGGCCATAGACCTTAACGGTCTGTTTCGAGCCTTATATATATGTATTTATGATTATTTTAAATCTAATTTTTGCACCAACTGTCGCAAATTCTCTCATTTTTAATTCATCTTTACAAAACCCTCATATAGTTACAACACTCTCACTCAAAGCACAATTAATATCTCAAATACGGCCCTTCACATTGCTTACTATGTTGTATATTTAGTTGTGGAATGTTATTTCAGATAATTTCTTCATATAAATATCTATTAGGTTGCTAAAAATACGTTGAGCACAAGCAACCAATGTTTAACTTTTAATATGTACAATTTAGTTTGCAAAACCTCCGAGCAATTTGCTCGGAGTTGTAAACGACATAAAATAGGAAAAACGTTGATTGAAACTACGATTAGCTGTTTGCAGGATTCATCAACGCAATATAGCGGAAGTGAACCCGTCTTGGACCACGTGGCAGCGTCTCCCTACCTTCTACCTCCATGGATTTACCACTAAAACTGAACTGATACACTGCAAACTTGATCAACAGATGGCATCATCTATTCTACGGAATATTTCATAATAAAACGTATGTGTGCCACGTCACCTTTATAATGCCGTTTGTCCCGTTTGAATCAGACCAATAGCAACGAAGATATGGAGTTAAGTCCTTTTGGCATGATTTTTCCTTTTAACGTTTACCTATACTCGTTCACGTTAACGACGACCGCCATATTAGATCGATTAGCCGAGTCGCAAATCCGAGTTTCAATTGTTATTACCACCGATAGCTAGCGCCATCTCGTAGCGATTTCTGGAATTACTGCGCTCGTGGCCTCTTTGCTCATCTACTAACCACTCTATATCTTAGACTAGGTAATAACTCTATATATACGACAATAATTTCCGAATATCTTATCCCATATCATTTTTTTATGCGTTTTGGTTAATAAAACTAATAGTATTTATTTGTATACACAATCTATGTATAAATCATTAACAACTCGCAGCAGTACACGTTTTGATTTGCGCCTCTTTTTCCCCAGGAGCGCAGCTCTTCGAAATGCAATGTCGCCAGCGCGTCATCTTTCCTATTCCGCAAGAAACGCTGCAAGCCGACCACTTGCCCCAATGGTCCCAAACTTTCGTTTCTTTTTTGCTTCGCAAGTTTTCTTCCAGTTGATTAACATCGTCAATGTACACAACGTTATCCAACGAATCGTATTCACTGTTGTAAGAACTCGGATCTACATTGTTCGATTTCAGTTTTAGAATAATCGGGGAGTAAGAGTTAATTTCGTCATCTGTTAGTAACAATATTGGTAATGAAAGGAGAATAATATACGGTAAAATCATATTTGACACATGTCACATTTTTAGAAAGTGTAGGTGTCCCAAAAAATTACACTGAACGTGTTATACTTGTTGATATACAGAATGTCCTAAAAAGTTTTAAACAAATGACAAAAATTATGAAAGATTATTAAAACAATCGATTATTTTCGACTATTCAAATATTTCATTAATAAAGTTTATAAAACTTGAACCTACCTGGCACTCCCAAACTCATAGTACTCTTGGAATGCGACGCCATCTTCGATAAATTACTACTACTTTGACTATGCATCTTCGACAGCTTCTCCATATCCCCACTACCGACAAAAGCCGATTTCGGCCTCCTAGGTAGCGAAGTATTGCAATTTTCGCTCAGAACCGAAGCCTCGTGGTACCCAGAACTATCCGAACTGGTTCTCGAATGCGAAATGACTAAACCACCTTCGGTCCTCCTCATTTGTATCTCGCCACCGTCAGATTTCTCTTCGGATATCCTTCGGATGTCTTCGGAGCTCGTTCGACTGTTTTCGGCGTCGTTCGCGTTCCGTTCGGTGGTCTCGGTTGTTGGAGGTTGTGTGGGAGGTTTGGGGGCGGGTTTTCGTTTTCGTTGCGGCGGTTTCGGTCGATCGGTGGGCGGATCTTGTTTGGGGGGAGGAAGGATGGGTTTTTGGACGACGCCGGGGGGTGTGACTGATCGGGAATCGTCGCTGTGAGTGGGGGAAATCGATCTGGTGTCGCTGGACACTGACCCAGAACCCATACTCTACAAAAAATAAGATGATAAATGGGACAGCTTCAGCTTTAAGCTTTATTAATGAATGTTTACAGTTCGTTCTTCCTTAATGAGTTAATAAATCAGTGGTTGAGGGTTTAGAATTATATTTCGACGTTTGATCGTCCTCTAAAATGATTATAATGAACCCAAAGAGTGAAAAGATTCGAAAAATTCAATTTCCAAATCGAATTTCGACTTGGAAAAAAGTGGTCAATCGATAGGAAAGCACAATAAAGACCCAAAAATGTTTAGTATTATATTTAGACATTTGAACGTCTCACAAAATGATTATAATGAGCCCAAAATGATTATAATGATCCCAAAATGATTATAATGAGCCCAAAATGTGTAAAAATCCAAAGAATAAAATTCTCAAATCAAATTCCAACTTGGAAAAAAGGTCATAATCGAGAAGAAAACACAATAAACATTCAAAAAAGGTTTAAAATTATATTTGAACGTATAAAAACCCTCAAAAATAATTAAAATGAGCTGAAACAGTGTAAAAATTCTAAAAATACAATTTTCAAATTGAATTTTGACTTGGAAAAAATGGACAATCTACGAGAAGGCACAGCAAAGATCCTAAAGGGTTTATAATTATATTTAAACGTTTGACAACCCCTTAAATTGATTGTAATGAACTGAAATAGGGTAAAAATTCTATAAATACAATTTCCAAATCGAATTTTAACTTTAAAAAACTGGTCAATTGACAGGAAGGCACAATAAAGATCCAAAAATATTTAGTATTATATTTAGACGTTTGAACGTCTCACAAAATAATTATAATGAGCCCAAAATGATTATAGTGAACCCAAAATGATTATAATGAGCCCAAAATGATTATAATGAACCCAAAATGATTATAATGAGCCCAAAATGTGTAAAAATTCAAAGAATAAAATTTTCAAATCAAATTCCAACTTGGAAAAAAGGTTATAATCGACAAGAAAACACAACAAACATTCAAAAAAGGTTTAAAATTATATTTGAACGTTTAAAAATCCTCAAAAATAATTAAAATGAGCTAAAACAGTGTAAAAATTCTAAAAATACAATTTTCAAATTGAATTTCGACTTGGAAAAAATGGTCAATCGACGAGAAGTCACAGCAAAGATCCTAAAGGATTTATAATTATATTTAAACGTTTGACAACCCCTTAAATTCATTATAATGGGCCGAAATAGTGTAAAAATTCTATAAATACAATTTCCAAATCGAATTTCAACTTTAAAAAACTGGTCAATTGACAGGAAGGCACAATAAAGATCCAAAAATGTTTAGTATTATATTTAGACGTTTGAACGTCTCACAAAATGATTATAATGAGCCCAAAATGATTATAATAAGCCCAAAATGATTATAATGAGCCCAAAATGATTATAATAATCCCAAAATGATTATAATGAGCCCAAAATGATTATAATGAGCCCAAAATGATTGTAATGAGCCTAACATGATTATATTGAGCCCAAAATGATTATAATAAGCCCAACATGATTATAATGAGCCCAAAATGATTATAATGAGCCCAACATGATTATAATGAGCCCAAAATGTGTAAAAATCCAAAGACTAAAATTTTAAAATCAAATTCCAACTTGAAAAAAAAGGTAAATCGACAAGAAAGCACAATAAACATTCAAAAAAGTTTAGAATTATATTTAAACGTTTAAAAACCCCGTAAAATAATTATAATGAGCTAAAATAGTGTAAACATTCTAAAAATACAATTTCCAAATCGAATTTCGACTTGGAAAAAATGGTCAATCGACAGGAGGACCCAATAAAGATCCAACAAGGTTTAGAATTATATTTAGACATTTGAACATCCCCTAAAATGATTATAATAAACTCAAAATCATTGTAATGAGCCCAAAAGTGTGAAAATTGGAAAAATAAAATTTTTAAATCGAATTCCGACTTGGAAAAAAGGTTAATCGGCAAGAAAGCACAATAAACATTCAAAAAAGGTTTAGAATTATATTTAAACGTTTAAAAACCCTTAAAATAATTATAATGAGCTAAAATAGTGTAAACATTTTAAAAATACAATTTCCAAATCGAATTTCGACTTGGAAAAAATGGTCAATCGACAGGAGGACTCAATAAAGATCCAACAAGGTTTAGAATTATATTTAGACATTTGAACATCCCCTAAAATGATTATAATAAACTCAAAATCATTGTAATGAGCCCAAAAAAGTGAAAATTGGAAAAATTAAATTTTCAAATCGAATTCCGACTTGAAAAAAAAAAGGTAAATCGACAAGAAAGCACAATAAACATTCAAAAGGGTTTAGAATTATATTTAAACGTTTAAAAACCCTTAAAATAATTATAATGAGTTAAAATAGTGTAAACATTCTAAAATTACAATTTCCAAATCGAATTTCGACTAAAAAAAATGGTTAATCGATAGGAAGGCACAATAAAGATCCGAAAAGGTTTTAAAATTATATTTAAACGTTTGAGCACCCCCTAAAATAATTATAATGAGCCTAATAAATGTAAACATTCGAATTTGAATTATATATAGAAAAAGAAAATAAAAATATTGGGTAAAATAAATAAAATTAGTCCAAAAAGTTACTCACCGATTTCCCCCTCCTGAATATCAAATTGAAAACACCCCCGCCTGTCTTGTTGTGCATTTGTTTCCGTTCTTCTTCTTTTCTAAGCGCCATGATATCGCTGCTGGAAAAAGCTTGACTGAGACTGGCCGTTCCTTTTGCTACGACGAAAATTTCTGTTATCTGATAATCGCTCAAAGTCAATTTGGGATCCAGTGTCTCGTCAAGGTTTCCTGAAAAATAGAAAGTGAAATTTACTGTTAAAATTAAATTAATTTTAAAGAATATTTAAACCTATTAACATTGTTAATTATAATATTATCTAAAGGAATGTTAATAGGTAAATTTGGAAAAATTGACATTGACAATAAAATAAAATGTATACGATGTTATTTTCAAGACTAAATACAGGGTGTCTATGAAAGTAAAATTACCTTAGTACAAAGTTGCTTCGTTTGGGCTCCAGAGGGCCTTGAAGTTACAATTTTTAAATCGTTTTTCCCATATAAATTTAAAACGGCATATGCGATTTTGCTGAAATTTGGTATATTGGTAGAGTTTTATGTGGCAAAAAAATATTATTAAAATTTTGTCCGATAATAATACATAGGCGTAGAACATGATTTTTTAAATAATTGCACCTTTAAAAATTCTACGCCAATGGAAGAAAAGGAGTTTGAGTATGAAATTTAGATTGCGCAACTCATTTACTTTAAAAAAGGTACTCTTAATAAGACTCGATTACTCTCATGGTTTTGACGAAATTTGCATTTTAGTAATTTTAGAACATAAACAATAATTATTAAAATACAAATTTTGTCAAAACCATGAGAGTAAATCGAGTGTTATCAAGGGTACTTTTTTGTAGTAAATGAGTACCCAATCCAAATTTCATACTCAAACCCCTTTTTTGCCATTGGCGTAAAATTTTTAAAGGTGCAATTATTTAAAAAATCAAGTTCTACGCGTATGTATTATTATCGGACAAAATTTTATACGATGAAAAACATAAAAATGTACTTTTTTCATATCTTCTTCAACACCTCTAATCGAGACTTTTAACAAAAATACTCGATTCTTGCCATGTACGATTTTTTGAGGAATATTAATTATTTGCCTGCAATACGTATACAAAAACATTTATTGTTGGTTTCCATAGTTTCATCTAAATAAAAATATTGTCAAGTTTTAACACCTAATCTCTTGTTAACGATTAAAAGTGTTCTAGCTGACTCAATAATTAAAAAAACAAATGCGTGGTTTATTAATATGGCTGTACAATATACCAATGCAGAATATACCGATATGTTACCGACATTAGGATTTTGTGAAGGAAATGCTCGAGAGAGTGTCAGGGTGTACTCTGAAAGGTTTCCAAATCGTCGTGTACCTAGCCACCCAACTTTTGCTGCTGTTGAGAAACGTCTTCGGGAGACCGGTTCCTTTGCTCCCAACACTGTTGATAATGGAAGAGAACGTTTTGTAAGGATTCCTGAAGTTGAAAAAGACATTTTAGAACGTGTTGAATAAGATCCAGAATTAAGCACCAGACGAATTGGAAGGGAACTAGGAGTAAGTAAAGATGTCGTTCATAAAGTGCTTAGAGAACAATTGTTATATCCATACCATAAGAAGCCAGTACAAGAATTATTAGTCCATGATCCTCAAATTCGTTTGGGTTTTGTCGATTTGTTAATATGCAAAGAGAAAGAGATCCAAACTTTGTCAAGAAGGTTCTCTTTACCGATGAAGCGGGTTTTACAAGAAGAGGTATAACTAATACCCATAATGAACATGTTTATGCCGTTGAAAATCCGCATGCAATAAAGGTAAACCATTTTCAGCACGAATTCAAAATTAATGTGTGGGCTGGAATAATTGGTAATTTCATTGTTGGTCCTGTCATACTTCCACGAAGATTAACTGGAGAAAATTATTTGGATTTTCTACAAAATACGTTGCCAGAATTGTTAGAAGATTTACCTCTCCATCTTCGGAGAGATATGTGGTTTATGCAAGATGGAGCTCCACCACATTTTTCTTTAAACGTTAGAAACCACTTGAATGAACAATATCCACACAAATGGATAGGCAGAGGTAATGACGCACCTGTAAACTGGCCACCACGTTCCCCAGACCTAACACCGATGGATTACTTTTTATGGGGACATCTGAAATCCACAGTTTATAGGGAACCTGTAGAAAATGAGGAACAACTCTGGCAACGTATTCAAGATGCAATAAACAATCTTAGAGATGATGAAGAAGTTATGGGAAGGATACATTTTAATTTTCTTCGACGTATAAATCTTTGTATGCGTGAAAATGGTGAACATTTTGAACAATTTTTGTAAAAATCTCTATTTTGATTATGTTGTAAATAAATATTTTTGTGAAACCTATACACTCTAAATTATTAAAACAGAAATTTAGCGAAAACCATGAGAGTAATCGAGTCTTATCAAGAGTACCTTTTTTAAAGTAAATGAGTTGCGCAATCTAAATTTGATACTCAAACTCCTTTTCTTCCATTGGCGTAGAATTTTTAAAGGTGCAATTATTTAAAAAATCAAGTTCTACGCCTATGTATTATTATCGGACAAAATTTTAATACCATTTTTTTTGCCACATAAAACTCTACCAATATACCAAATTTCAGCAAAATCGTATATGCCGTTTTAAATTTATATGGGAAAAACGATTTAAAAATTGTAACTTCAAGGCCCTCTGGAGCCCAAACGAAGCAACTTTGTACTAAGGTAATTTTACTTAAATCGTCTTATTTTGGTCTAAGGAATATGTAGTATGTTTTTGTAAAGACCTTTTACAGACATCCTGTATATTACATAAATTATACGCCCTCGTATTTAGATTCGCAGCCTTTCAAATTGAAAACCAGGAATTTGATCAGCTCGTTCGGAATCTTCAATTTTTACATTTTTAATTCTTTATAAATGGTAAAGAGAAGAAAAAAATATTTATCATACAGTACTTATATATTAAAATTACTTTTACTCATTTAAATAATTTAAAACTACGTCAGTACCATAATTATTCTTCTTATCTTGAGAAAATCTCTTTAAATTATATAAACAAATTAACATCAAAAATATTAAAATTGCATAAGTATTCGTTTACAATTCTAAGAAAGTTGGAACATTAAAAATTTATTACTTTTAAATGAATTTCAAGTTAAGTCATAGTATCAATGAAGCTATTAATACCTATAACATAAAAAAAATTCTAGTACCTATTTACATACCTATGTCATCCAAAAGTAATTATAATCAATTACGTCATCGATTTAATAATAACAAAAATAAATCAGTTTCACTAAAAACAACACTTCCAAGCCTAAGTATAAAATTCCCCCAATTTCTTTCATTCAAACTAGAGAACTAAATTGATAAAAATGTTGCATAGATTAAGAAAATTATATTTAACATACCTACGTCTTCAATAATAAAAATTAATTACTGTGTAAAATTATCAGACGAGATAAGAGAGTATCAAAGCAGACAAATTTATAAATTTATTATTAATAAACAGTACAGCTTTACACACATTCTGAAGATAATCGGCAAGTGACACTATAAGATAATGGGTGTATGTATATTAGGATAATATTAGCAAAACAAATAATTATATGAAGTTGCCAAAGAAATCCGGTTGTTTATTATGGATGTCAAACATTCTTTGACAAATTTAATTAGTTGTTATTTTATAAATAATAATAATATGTCGCTTACGTTTGCATCTTTTGTGCACCTTTCTTAAGCTACCATTTCGCAAGCCGAGACAGAGACCGACTTCAAAACGCGCTGCGACACTAAACGGTCGCTTCACGTCTGAACCCATGTAATTATAAGAAACACATTTCGGTAGAGGCGACAAACGCCATCAGATTTTAGTATGGCAATATTTGCCGCTTCACTAGTGTCTCGGTCTCCTGTCGCGGGTCGCGCGTTCCCAAATGGTACCTTTACAGTCTGTTCGCTATACTTACGCGGGTTTCGGATTAACAAAATTATGCAAATTAGTCATTGACAACCAGTTCCAATAAGCCGCTTCCCAAGAAATTAGGTAAAATTGCCCTAATGGTCAGATTTAAATTAAAATAACATTAGGGTAGGTACTAAATTTGTTACAAATATTGCAGTTGAATTGATTCTTTGCAAGTGTTGACATTGTATGTATATTGTAAATTTTGTGGAAATTTTAAAAATGTCTGGACGTGTGTTAGATGTAGATAGTCTAATTTGTAGTGTACATAAGTATTTTACGGATGAAAAAGAAAATGGCGGTTCTTTAAAATCGGTAATGTCTGTACAACAACGCGTATGCGATGCTCTAGGAATTAGTGAAACCAAATTAAGAGGAGTATTACAAAATCACAATAGTGAACTGCCGAAAGAAAATCACCGCAAAACTCGCCCATCATTGATAACGAAAGATATTCCAGATGGAAAGAAATTTGAAATTCGTGATACCATTTATCGAATGAGGGCCAACAAGGAACATGTGACCTTAAATACAATTATCTCGAAATTAATAGATACAAAATTTGACGACATTGGCAGAACAAGTCTATGGCAAGTGATACATAATTTGGGTTTCAAACTTCAAAAGGAGGATAACAGAAAGGCCCTTTGTGAAAGAAGTTCTGTCGTAAACAAGAGAATTAACTTTCTAAGAAAATATTCAAAATTTAAAGAAGAAGGGACAATTTTTATATATTTAGACGAAATATGGATATTTTCTAGGGGAGCAACCAAGAGAATATGGCAAGATGATAACGTAAAGTCCATCAAACCGATGGAGAAGGGAAGCGACACATAATATTACATGCAGGGGGTCAATTCTCGAGTTGTAGGAACCTTTTCCTATAGGAATTTGTGACACTTTCCTACATGTAGACAAATGTCATAAATTTCCGATGTGTAGAAAAATGTCAAAAATTCCTATAGGAAAAAATTCCTACGAGTCGAGAATCGACCCCCTGGGCCTCAATTCTTGACTTTTTTTCCCATGGGAAAAAGATAATTTTCCTATGGGAATTTATATTTTGTATTCTCGACACATCCACTAGGAATATTTCCTCACGAAAAGTATGGGAGCAAATACACCTGGTATGTGGCATGGGAAATCAAATTTCCAATGGGAATCTGTCACCGATGACATTTGCTAGTTACTTCAAATAATAATATTTATATATTATTATTACTAATATACC